AAGCTGCTTTCCGACAAAGCACTGTGTTTTCCCTCTTAATGTTTATATTTGTGTTTATCTTGACAAAAGTATCTATACACATAAAGTGATAAACCTATTTATTAATTTTACATTGTCTAATCAATTGTTCTTAGAAAAGTTTGTTCAAAATGGTGGTATCTAACCTGTCAGTTGTCTAACTGGTAAGAATTAAACATGTATATTGTTCTTTATTTTTTGTTTAAAAGAGAGGCAAACGATACAAAAGGGAAATTCAAACTCATAAGTCGAATACAAACTAACAACGCCATAGCAAAATACAAAAACAAACGACCAAAAGAAAAACAACAGAATACAAAGCACAACATACAAAACTAAAGACTGATCAAAACGAATCTCACTAAAAACCGGGAGTTATTTAATGTGCTTTGGAAGAGTAGGCAGATCCTGCTCCGCATGTTACAGTTACATTTATATTTTGCTGAAACAAGGCACTAAAACTAATTTTCAGACACATTGATCCTAGTTCTTCACTCAATTCTATAGGTTGAAAGGATTTTTTTAAATAAAGTTAGTGCTTTCCGCCGACTCAGATGTAAATCCCTTGGTTATTTTCATTCGAGAAATACATACAACTTGTTTTCAAAGGGCCTTAAATGAAAAGCTGACATTCAATAAAAAATTATGGTTCATTTTGAAATATTTTTTTTTATTATATACAAAGTTTAAAAAACGTCCAAAAAAGGGAAGCACGAGAATTGTTTCAAGTCACATGTACTGATTATTGTGCCGTCAGTTTTTTTTTTATAAATCCTTGCAAACTAACTGCGTTAATAATTTAGAACTTTTATAAGACACGTACCACTTCGGTTAATTTGGTTGGACATGTGTTTGAATTTCCCTAAACTGAAAAAGAAATGATTGCCATTGTTTTCACTGTAAATGCAGTAAAAGTAAGAAAGGTAATCCAAAATGCAATAAATAAGGCCCTATTTAGTCAACAAACAGCAAAAGTAATTAAATCAATAATGATCAGGAATTTTATTTAATTCAACAAGGACGCCAAAAAAAAATCAAGGCCTGTAAGGACCATGTGATTTATTTTTTGGCGTTTGTACCAGCACCGTACTGCAAAAACAAAAACAAGAAGTCAAAAGACAAAAAAGTAAAGATATCATAAATTTCATATTTTCATTATGTTCACATTTATTAAAAATTCTGAAATAAGAAATGATAGAACTATCCAGATACAATAAATTTATGCTTAAAACAATTGTTGAAACATTTTTACTTCTGATTTTTCGCGATGAGGGTAAGGTCGAATTCCATTGATATCAATCTATAGTCTGCAAAGAAATCAATAAATTCAGAGAGTCGATATGAGTTTCGTCACCTTACACTAAAAAACCACAATGCTTGACAAAACCAAACCATTCACTACATTGAAAGCAATCTTTATATTTGATTTGTTCTCGTTTGCTTATTTTTGTTAGTTTTATATAATATATATTTAAATTGTATTTCTTTTTCTGCTTTCATGGTATTTCAAAGCTAGGTTCGTGAATGGGAAATACTTTGACTTTGAATAATAGTACAGTTATGTGCGGGATGTATTAAATACACAATTCATCCTGAAAGAGTGCCATGCTGTTAGTATGCTGATAATACGAAAGCGACATCTCCATAATCATTTATACGTTTGATCCATATCATTTCCATTACCAGAAATACTCTTTTACTATACGCCGATTTCTCACGTCATTAGCATGATATGCTTACCCTTCCTTTTCGACTTATGAGTTTGAATGTCCCTCTGGTTTTTTTTGCCTCTCTTTTAAACGTTTTATGGACTAACTGGATCACTGCATCTTTGAACTGATAAAGTAAATGTGACTGCTTTACATTTTCAAACACCCGTCTTTAGTCTTATGTACATAATCCAACCCTGCCTAAATAAATATATTAATTCTATAATTTAAAAACAGTTATCGAAGCGGTCATAAGGAAGTTATCCCCATTAGAATATTCATCCTTTAGCTCAACGTACTCACGTAGATTTTATGCCCAACAAACGCACGAATGACGCACCTAAAACCAAACATTTTCACGGAGAGATAACGATTGGAATCAAGCGTATTGGAGGTAGACTTATTTGCGGCTATTGCTGAAACTAATCCTGTTAACCCTACACAGCTCGTCATGTGTGTTTTCATTATTTTGATTTTGTATTCACTTCCCAGTTTCATTTCATTTCGTGTTCATGTTCATTTCATTCATTGCATGTTCAGCGTTCTAAAATATGTTTCTTTAATATATCTTTTTCTTGTAAAATGTATTAAAATTATAATTCTTTATTTTGTAAACAAAAAACAATTTTGGTTATAGCAATACAGACACAAAACAAACATAAGAAAAACTCAGCAATAATTATATACATATTAAAACAGTTATTGGCCTCCTTTCTTCAGTTCTAACGACTCTTTAATAAACGAAAGAACTGTTTTTATATCACTGGGTGTTGATGGATTTAGTATAATCGCGAGTTTATCGGTTAAGTTAAGTGTATTGAAATTGACAAATTTTCAATATAATATTTTAAAAAGGTTTCTCTATTACTGTTATTCATTTTACATTAAAAGAAAAAATGGAATTCATTGTCTAAGATATTATATATTTTACATTTTCTTTCCTTTCTTGGTATTTTTATGCCCCACCTAGGGGCAATATGTTTTTCGTTCTGTGCGTCCGTTTGTCCGTTCGTCCGTCCGTCTGTCCCGCTTCAGGTAAAAGTTTTTGGTCAAGGTAGTTTTTGATGAAGTTGAAGTCCAATCAACTTGAAACTTAGTACACTTGTTCCCTATGATATGATCTTTCTAATTTTAATGCCAAATTAGAGTTTTGACCTCAATTTTACTGAACATAGAAAATGATAGTGCGAGTGGGGCATCCGTGTACTATGGACACATTCATGTTGTATATCTTCTAGTTTCTAAAAGACAAGGACCGCTTATTCTAAATTGGGTTAACATTTTTCTTGCTTTTTTGTTTGGGTGAGATAGGTAGTATTCCATTTGTTTATTTATGTTAGATTTATGATATTTATATAGATATATTATATTATTTTCATTCAGATAGTTTATGCTATGATTAATAAGAGTTTGATAATAGTTAGTAGAACATTTTTTTAATCGAGGTTTTAATTTTCTAGTCTGTTTTAAAGTGTTAGTTTCTTCAATAAGTTTGATGTCGATATTTATTTCATGTGACACATTGTTTGCAAAAGTATACCAAGAGTGTGTTCCTTCTAAATTTTAGTAAGGTTAAATGCTTCATTAAGAAGTGGGTTTAGATTTTCATTATTAAATCTAGATAAATTGTAGGTACATCAAAAGTTTCTAATGGCAGAAGTCCAAGTTAATTTCTAACAGCTATATTTGTTGAGCGTCTTTTTATTCCCAGTGCTTGTTTTCCGAAATGCAGCTGGGTTTTTTTCCTAAAATAGCTTTATCAATAAAACGAATGACTGGTGTTAAGTTACTTTTGTTAGCTCGCTGATTAGCTTTATAAAATTTAATATAAGTGTCCGAATAACATATTTCTCTATTATATGTTAGTAAAGGATTAACCAATGTTTAAAAAAGGTTGCAAGACACTCACCCATGAAGTTGTCGAAAACATGTTGAGTAAGAATTTATAGCAAATAAAACTATAAAAAAATAAAAGATCTGAACTACAACTAGTTAAACTGCCATTAGATGTTATAACACATCCAAGGTATTATTTTACTTTAAATTTAAAGAAGTATTTATTTTACTGTGGTTATTTAATCACAATATTCAGAGAGATTATTCAAGCTATTTTGCAGACCATTTTCGCTGTCTGATAATATAATCAAATCATCTTCAAATAGGAGACTTCCTATGTCTGAATTTATAAGTTTTACAGGATTACAGTTTTGTTTTTCAAATATCTGACTTAAGTCATTAATAAAAATATTAAAAAGTGCGGAGCTTAAAGAATCTCCTTGTCTTACACCTTTATCTGTAATAAAATGTCTAGACTCTGACTTTTTATGTTTAAACAAACCAAGAGTATGATTGAGTTGTGCTTTAATGATGTTGAAAATGTGTTTACCAACTCCTAGTTTACACAATTTATTAATTAGTCCTAGCCTCCAAAGAGAGTCGAAGGCTTTTTTTAAAGTCTATGAAGCAAATATATATTTTATTTTTATTTTTATGAAGGTATAAATTTGTGATAGATTTAAGGATAAATAAGCTATCAGAAGTTCTATGATTCTCTTGAATTCCAAACTGTGAGTGGTTATTTTTGGATTCCATAAGTTTATTGATTCTATTTTTCAACAATGCACTAAATTCTTTTTTAGACAAACAGCTCATTAATGCAATTCCTCAATAGTTATTTAAATCATATTTGCCTCCTGATTTATAAATTGGAATTATATATGATTTTTTTTCAAAATTTGGAATAGTATCAAGATTTTAGTATAGCATTGCAAAGTTTTGTAAAGAATTTAAGTGTAACAGGGCTACTGAATTTACTAATTTTATTTAAAATTTTATCAGGTCCTGAAGATTTACCTGTTTTTAATTTATCAATAACAATTTTAACTTCTGACAGTTTAAAAGGTTTGTCAGTGATTCTATATATAGCATTTTTTCTTCAATGTTTTTAAATTCTATTTCTATATGTTTTTGAAATTCTTTGTTGACAGTAGAGCAGTTTCCTTGGTTTTGAAAATGTTGTTATAGCTCTTCTAAGTTTTTAAATATTTCTCCAGAGTTATCTTCATGTTTTAAGGTCTTTTTCATTTCTTTAAGAATTTTCCAATATTCTTTGAATCATTTTTATAGCAGAAGCTTTATAGTTTTCAAGTTTTTTAAATTCTTAGCTTTTTTTTTGGTTTAACCATCTTTTTAAAAGTTTTTAGAAGATTAAAATATCTAGTTTTATATGATTTATTAATGGATTTGCTTTATCATTTCTCTCGATGGCATTTATTTGATGTTTTAAATCTGTTATTGCATTATCTGTCCATGGTTTAGCAAAAATAAATTAGATCATTCATTTTAGCCAACACATGTCTCCTTTTATTCATATAACTGCATGTATATATTCTTTAACACCTGACGAAAATTTGAACAGTTCAAGCTAGAGGGAACAGTAGTTTGTCGATGTTCAAATCTCATAAAACCATTGAAAAGATACAAATAAAAAAAAAGAAGAAAAAAATGAGTGAAAAGAAAAATAATCGGCGTACTATTTTTTTTAAGATTACAGTTGAGCCTTTAGTTACCGGTTCAACATGGAGAATATCGATGACGACTTTCCCCTACCTGGGATTGAAAACCACCCTGTTAATCAAGTAAATGAAGTTAAAGAGCACGATTCATTTTCGGACATCGATCCTTATTACAGTGATGATTCAGTCACAACTGATGAAAAGAGTAATACATCTATACCAGATAAAACAACAGAATTATACGACTCCATGCAAACAGAGCAAATGGAAGAATCTGAACACCTGAAAGAAGAATCTGATATCACACTTATTGAGGTTTATCCTGACAGAAGTATGGTCAATCTGAATTCAAACGGTTTAAAACAAGTGAGAACAATATCTGCGTATGATATAGATTTACTTATATATTGGACGGGTGATTGGAATAACTTTAATCTGATACAATCGAGACCATAAGATGGCGAAGCCAAACACAAAAAATAGCATAAAAATAATAGAATATCCAAAATCCGAGGATAATTTTGCAAAGGAAGTTGAAACCTTAGTTTTTGAGTACAGTTTTATGATTAAAACATATACATTTACACATATATACATCCTTGGTTTTCAAATATTTGGCTTTGAGCGTTCCGGATGAAAGGTAAATCAAGAAAAGCGTTTCGGACGCATGAAATTTATATCGTGTTGTTTTCATTTTTTACAATCATAATGTTTCCTGTAAACTGTTCCATGACCAAAGTTAACTATGATTGAATACTTTTCTAATTCTGTGATATTTACAGTCTCTATGTGTGCAAAAAAGGCTAAACCAGAATATAAACGGATGTTCAATCCTCTCAAAATGATTTAGAATATACAAATAAAGATAAAAAAAAAACCCTGAGTAAACCGCATGAACTTCAAACGGAGTAAGACCGGATGCGTCGACGGGGTATGCTCCTCTTGACGACCATTCTTGTATCTAAATATCAATGACCGTTAAACCATTTCTTCTGTGAGTTGGCAACTAGATGTGTATTTGGTTTATATCGTTGGGTTTATGTTTTATTGATGTCTTCTTCAATATTCATTTTATTCATATAGAGTCATATTCCACGAGATGCAAGAAAAGAAAAGACTACACACAAATTGGCTAAAAAACAGATAATGACAACAAATGTATAACAATATTTGAGCTGAATATTCTAATACCATTTTATTGTAAATTATTTTTGATAGGCTACTATCTACTGTCAAATCCACAATTGACATATCGTAATCAAGAACTGTACCGCAATATTGTATTTCTGAAATCAATAGATTCTCGAATTATACAACATAATCGAAAATAAAATAAAGCCTACCTCAGAACGTCGTTTAATAAGATCTTGTCCGAATTTGAATCGAACCAATTATGGAAAAACATTCAGCTGAAATTTACATACGTATGCTTATTCACAAAAAAAAAAAAAAGAAATGAAAGTTTGCAGTATTTCATTTTATCCTAGTTTTAAGCCTTTTAAAGCTCTAGTGCATTATTTCGTTTTGTTATGTATCAGAATAGGAATAATAGTGCTGTAGTTGAACAGTTTTTGCCATCAATATAGGATTTGTCGGTCGCAATTATTACTTTTGGTTTTTTTCCAGTGCGCATTGCCAGTAATTTGCATTTGTGACCACCTAATTGTCGGCATCAACTCTTCAATCACAGATTTTTTATTCCTTAAATAATTAAAAAAAAAAAAACCGCGTTTTGATAAATGCTGCGATTAGATACAAGAAATCTTGACAACTATGGTATTTGTTTTTATGCTACAAAAACATTTGAATGAATTTATATAAAATAATTTGTTATTTCATCTTTCTTTTCTTTAGTGCGGAAATAAAGCGTTGGCATTGGAGCGTTATTACAAAGGTATGTATTCTGTCAGGTGAGTGAAATTAGGAAACTAAAAATTAAAAGGAAAAAAAAAAAAATCACCGGATTATCTAGTAGGTTTTTCTTACTCTATGCAAAATATCAAAACTTACATGACAGCCTTTTCCAAGAAACTCAAAGGTGTTTTATAAGTGTAAATTTCAATCATATTGAAAACTTTTTCATGAAATGAAGGAAATTTAAAGATGATGTAATTATGATTATTTTATAATTTGTATAGAGTATTTGCGGAGGGAGACGATAGAACCATACCCTTTACACCATTTAGAGGTCAGCGTACTTTGGATTCCTGTCATTGAAGAAATGTCGGCTACTGGTGACTATAGAGTATGATCTATTTAAGATTAAAAGATTAAAGCTGGTTTTTAAAAACGAGACTACTTTACAAAAAAGTAAAGATTTCAAAAAAGGTTGATCATATGTTTACATCAATGAACACATTTTTGGTAGGTTGTTATCTTTTAATGCAAGATGGAGAGATGACAAATTTGAGATAAATCAAACTTTATGTTTTAGCCTAAACATGTATGAAAACGGCTGGTAAAAAAGGTTATTTTGAGTAAATCTCATTTCTTGCATTGGCTTGTATTTTTTTTTAGCGGCTTATACAATTAATAAGAAGTATAAAAGATTCAGCTGATGAATTATTGGAAGCAGATCCTATAGTTTACTGTACAAAGGCTTTCCATGTGTATATTGACTTAAACATTTCCTTGATCAAGATGAAGGAGTGTCTGAGTGATCCAGGCTGTATCTTTGAAGATTCAAGAAACATCTCTATGCAGATATCAAGATGTTTTCTTTTCATGGTATGTATTACAGATTTGTGGTATTAATTGAACAGCACAGGGTATTTCATTAAAGATAAATGCAGGCTCCATTGAATTGAAGAGTAACTCAATAACAAACCCGCATAGGTGGTACTATTGTATTGTTAACAATGCAAACGCAATAAAACAATAATGAAAACTCTTCAATGTTTTAGAATCTACAACTGAAACTTCAACTGAAAAATACAAAAGTTTGGTAAATGAATAAAATATAACTATGTATCTATTATGTCTGTTTGTTTTGCTCACACAGTGTTGTCATTATAATTAGGAGATAACTGTATTGTATTTTAAGCTTGGCCTTTGTAAAACGTAGATTTTACTGTTGCAAATTGAGTTTACCTAGCGACGCATAGCGGAGCGGAGCTAGGTAAACGGATATTTGCGACAGTAAAATCAAGTTTTACGAAGGCCAAGCGTAAAGTACAATACAGATATCTCCATTGAAAGCCACATATTAGAATGAATTCCATTTTAATAAATATTTTGGCTCAAAAATGCCATAAATGAAAAGTCCGCGTAACTGTCACATCAAATTTGGCTTCTAAACAATGTGATGTTATAGATATACCCCCGATATCAAACATAAACACTAAACGTATTTATACTGTTCGTACGCTTCTGAATGGTTAAAATATTGACAAAATGAAGATTTTGAGGTAAAAAATGTGACTTTTATAGAAATTACATACCAAAAAATGCGGAATTCAAAATGGTGGCCTTTCCTTAGTTACGGACTGATAGAAAGTAGAATCTTACCCTTCAAAATATTTGTCAACGTCCAATGAAAATTATCGTTACAAACGAATTGCATTAGAATGGTATTTTACGCGACTGTCATACAAGTGAGAGGTTTAGCTAGCTAAAAAACCAGGTTAAAGCCATCATTTTCTACATAAGGAAATGTCTATACCAAGTCAGAAATATGACAATTGATGTATCCGAGCTTTATATTTTGCCATTTGTTAAGTCACCATCCGTTTTGAAATTTTTCTCGGAGTTCGGTTTTTCTGTTATTTTACTTTTTCTCTAACAACATACTGTTAGCTGTAGACTGTAACACAAATTTTAAGGTAGAATGTGACATGCGGCCTCTTTATTATCTAGTTTATATTGCATTTTTTGTTATAAAATTGCACTACATAAGATTAAAATATTGCTAAAAGAGAAAACCAGTACCAGGTTTTACGTAGGCATATAACTGGTACGTAAATGCTGAAAATAAGGTAAGAACATATTGGTATATATACGCATTGTGAATTGCATTGTTACCACTTGAACTAAACATTTTTTGATACATGTTACATTTTTATATTTCAGGGACAATATCGGGACGTGTGCCATATTTGCAAAAAAAGTAAGCAACCATATTTGCACATATGTTTTGTAACATTGTGGTTTTTTTTAACAATTAACAGTATTGAAACTTAAAAATCGTTCTTGTAAAAATTCATGCAATCGTTGTCATTCACCAATTACATGTAATGCAATCTATATGATTTAAGAATTTTTACGTAAAGTTTTCATTGAACAACTAATTATAAATCACGTTAGTTGATTTTCAAATATTTCACAGAAAAAATGAAACAATGACGTAATACTAATTTCATGTTGCTTATACTTTATTTTTTTCAGTGTAATAAAATGATAAGTCATTGTTGATTATCTTTTTGTCGTTTTTATCTTTAAAAATGGTTCTGTCTGTTTTACATGTTTTATTAGACTTTTTGTAGTGCGCGCTTGGTATATTTTCTCTCCATGTTTGTACTTTGAGGTTAAACCAATATACTAGTAATTGCTTTTTTTTAAAGCAAATCTTCAAAGTATAAACGTTAAAAGGTAGCAAAAAAATGCATTTTGATAGATTTTGGAAAATTTTGAGTATTTATCCCAAAAATTCAAAAGAAGGATAATCTTAACCAAAACAAAATTTTATTGACAATAAAGACATATTTTCTTAATTATATATAGTGTACTTCCTTCCCGTTCTTTAAATTACCTATAATGTTTTTTTCTCATTTTAAAACCATGCAAACATGGTCTTTTACAAACAGGTATAAATTTATAAGAAGCCAGTCAACACTGAGGTTTTGAGTTCGAATCCTGCTCGTAACAAAGTGTGTTCGACTCCGATTTTAAATGGCAAGAATTGCCAGTTTTCCTGCTGAAGGTCGGTTGGAGTACACAATTCTAATCCTGGTATTTATGATGAGTTAGTATAGTTTTCTTAAGGCACACCGGATTTCTCAATCCACTAATTAAATGTTGTCGAAAGGATATATATATCATAGAGGTAACTTTAAGTGTAGCTCAAACAACACACACTAGTAATCAAGTACGGATCTTTATTTTTTACAGTTGATGCACACTCTCCTATAAAACCAGGAAATTCAGCGTTCAAAGAATTCTTTCTTGTATGGATTGAAGCCCTCATCAAGCTGAAAAATACAGATATTGCGAAAAAAAAAATTGAACATTACCTCGAATTGACAACAACTAAGGTAATGGACATGTAATACCTATTTGAAGGACAAAATATATAAGAACATTTATTATTTAGATGTAAGAAGATGTGGTATGAGTGCCAATGAGACAACTCTCCATCCAAGTCACAATTTGTAAAAGTAAACCATTATAAGTCAAAGTACGGTCTTCAATACGGAGCCTTGGCTCAAACCGAACCGTAAGCTATAAAGGGCCCCAAAATTACTAGTGTAAAACCATTCAAACGGGAAAACCAACGGTCTAATCTATATAAAAAACGAGAAACGAGAAACACTTATGAACCACATCAACAAACGACAACTATTGAACATCAGATTCCTGACTTAGGACAGGTACCAACCTTCACCTTTATCTGAAACAATAGTGTAACATCACAACATAGAAAGGCACACTATAAAATATCAATTGAAATGGCTTAACTCAATCAAAAGATATTTACATTAGTATTATATCATTATATTATCAAATTGTTCTGCATGTCCGAAAGCTGGTATAGTTTTGGAAATTTTAGTTGTAAAGAAAGCTTAATAGGGAATACGAATTAAAATATCTCTAACCATATCAACAACTGTGATATATATACTGCCAAGTTATGATCAAACAAACAAAAACTGACCTGTGGCCTTGAGAAATAGAAATACTTGAGAAGCGATTTTCCAACAAAATACATTTTTAACTCTTTGAGTCATAATAGATTGCTAGTACCTTAGCTGTATTTGTCAATACCTTTCGGAATTTTGGTTCTCAAAGCTCTTTAACTTCGTACTTTATTTTGACCCTTTTTAACTTTTTTATTAAAGCGTCACTGATGTGTCTATTGTAGACGAAACGCGCTTCTCGCGTACAATTATGGAATCTATGATGAGTTTATTGATCTTTTACATGCAGGAAGACCAGGTAGCTGTTACTCCAATGTTCGATCAGATATACAAATTAGAAGAAGAAAGAAGGAAGATAAAGGACGAAGTTGTGGATAGCGACAATGAATATGTTAAGGATTCTAATTATACTGGTATAAAACAGGTGTGTACATTGGTAATAGTGTATCCCCATACCTTTTAATCAACTGTAATAAATTTTTCTAATTTTTTGGAACAGCTTCATTGCTTTTTCATGCAATATAAAAACGTTTTCAAAAATTTGAAATAGTTCTATAATAGCGATTATCCCTACTGTGCCTAGTTAACTCTACAGATTTACATACAATACTTTAAAAAAATGTATCACTTGTACTGAATGATTGTTAACAGAAAAGAAAGTGTCAGGCAAATACAAGGATTTTTTCGTAAAGTGGATCTCGCAACCAAAGATCACTGTCAAATTTTATATATGTAATTCAAGTTATGAAGTTAACATTATACAGAATTACTTTTAGGTACACTTACTGTAGTATTTGAATCATGTCAATATCAGAGCAAAGGCTTCATGGCAGATGGAACCCTAGGGGACGGATTTACATTCGTTTCGACCTACGGATGACGAAAGCTTAAACAAACCAGTATTTGTTTATTATGTATATTGCCCTTTGTTACTAAGCATATATAAAAAACGACGTGTATAACCATTTGTTCTGAGCTGCCGTAGATAATTTGATTGTTTTTATTGTACACTTGATAATCATTACAGCAAAAAATGAAAGTGGAAGAAATAAAGGAAAAACATCAGAAAAAGAAACGGTATCGTCGTAAGTAATGTTAAAAGTCTTTATGCTCTCCTTTTAATTGAAATACATCTTAACGGTTTTATTGATTCATTGGCTATAATTGTATAAGTGTATGAACCAAATAACACTTAGTTAACGAATGATCTTTCACGACTAGGTAATAAATGGGTTACAATAGCACTCCACGTTCTTTCATTATACTCACATCTCCCAATACCAACATTTGCATTTGATCTACTAGTATAGGCAATTTGACAGATGTCACATGTACAGCAAGTTTGCTAATAATCCCTCATTTTCTTCGGAAAATGCCTTTACTAAGTCAGGAATATGGCAGTTGTTTATCACCTGTTCCGTTGATTGATAGATTTTGATTTTGTCAGTTTAAATGGACTTCATCTTTTTTGAATTTGCCTTGGAGTTCAATATTTTTGTTATATTTTTTCAGGCACACGATATGGTTTTTAATTTTCGATTTTGAAGGCAATTTGTTTGATAAAGATGTTTTGTTAACATTGCCATATAAGCGGGAGGTTTGGGTAGCCATAATCCAGGTTCAACCCACCATTTTTTCTTAAAATGTCCTGTATCAAGTCAGAAATATGGCAGTTGTTATCAAATAGTCCGTTTCTATGTACTTTTGCGTTTTTTTTTGTAGCAGTTCAGTGTTTCTGTTGTTCGATTGTTTTCCTCTTATAGTTGATGTGTTTCCCTCAGTTTTGGTTTGTGACCCGGATTTGTTTCAGTTAAATCGATTTATGACTATTGAACAGCGATATACTACTATTGCCTTTATTTAAATTCCTCATTATTAGTTTGTCTGTACACACGTCTTGTTGATTTTTGTATGTGTCTCTTTCATGACATTTGGAGTGCACATTTCAATTGCACTTTTTTTCATTCAAAAAATAAATTGCTGATTTGTAAATGCCAAAAGGTTTAACGTCTTGGAGTATTTTCAAGCATATTTGTATGTTATGTTTTTCTGTTCCAACACTATGAATACATTAGTTATACAATCCATGTCTTATAAAAGTACATGTAGTCTGATTATTGGCAAAACATTGTTAATAAAGATAATAATAGAGGTATCAACAGTTTTCGGCCAACAAATTCGTAATGGAGATCGGAAAACTGATGTAGTTTTGATCTCACTGTTGTTCCACATAACTCTATCAGAGTAGTTTTTTAAGTAGTATACCCATGTTTACTTCATGAAAGCCAGATACTGTGAAAATTATCTAGCGTATGCGTTCAACCAAGATATGTATGCATCTATATCAGTGAATGGTACTTCCATTTAAATCATTTGTAATTTAAAATATTGAATTGACAACAAAAAAAATTAATTATTAACAGAGGTGAAAAGTATGTAGGATTAATTATTGCTTCGGACATATTTTATATTTGTATTTTTACCAGCTATATTAAAGTTCCAATTTAGGTTTTTTTTATTATCAAACAATTGTTTCGTCGTCTCTGCTCCCAGCTTTATGACTGACTAGATTTAATATGCATACCTATTCGATGCTTATCTTATAACGTTTTAGGGGTTTTATTTGCAATTTGGAACTTTTTTCATTATATATGTTTTAACTTAAATCATAATAAGGTGCAAAAATTACTTTTTTAAGCAAAAAGAGAACACGAACCGTTGGAATTTTTTACGATGCCAACTTCATGGAACGGTTTCCAAGGTAAATGGCCTAAGATTTTAAAAGAACTCCCACGTTCTAATGAATGTATCAGCTCACCGAAGGAAGACGAAACATTACACATTCCAAAAGGTCACGAAATTTCTGATGTCGAAAGCGACGATGAATTTGACAAAATGGCTAGAGACAACTGGATTGGTTCTGATTATACAACCAGTGATGACGAAGCAGACGGTGACAATGAACCTATTGATTACTACGAACAGAGTGTTAAGATGTACGAAAACAATCACGACAACGAGTTAAATGAACATGATGTCTTAACAAATGGTATTATATTATCTGAGAAATTTTTAGACCAACATTCAAGGTCAAAACATAAGAAACACTACTTTCAATACGAAGAATTCTACGAGAAAGAAAAAATGAAAGAACTTTGTAAAAGATATCCAAACAAATTTAAGATATGCACAGTTAAACTTGAGGCTGCTCATAGAGCAATATGCAAAAACACAGACCATTCTGGCAAAATATCCGAAATTGAAATATCTGGAAGGTCGAAAATAGGAAAGGTTTTTAACGACGATGAAGTTTGTGTTGAAATACTAAAGGATGAGATAGATGAATACAAAAGATACAATCATATTGGTCCCAGACTTAACGTTACTGTAGATACATCCACACTTAATTTGAAAGTTTATGGTCAGATAAGAGGAATTATGAAAAGAAATCATCATGCACATGTTAAACATCCGGTATTTGTTAGTATGTTGGATGAAGCAGAATATCATTTAATGAGACCAGTATCAAAAGCAATACCAAAACTTCATATAATGAATAGAAATTGTACAAACGATTATCAAATTGATGTATACAATTATGATAAAGAGAAGGGAGAACTTGAACACAAAGAACTATTCAATATCAAGCCAGGAGAAGTAGGGAACTACATATTTTTGGTAGCTTTGATCTGTTGGCATGAAATATACCCACGCGGTGCAGTTATAAAAGTATTGAATGCAAAGAGTGGTATGAATACAGGAATGGAAATATTGAAACTACAACACCAGGTGCCTACTACGTACAAAAAGGAGACCATAGAAAATCTGAATTGGTTGCTAGAATTAGATGAACCTCTTGTATGTAAAAAAGATAGAGTTGACTTAACAGGTATGGAAGTTGTAACGATTGATCCATCAAATGCTAGAGACTTGGATGATGCTTTAAGCATCGAAGAGCTAAATGACATATATAGAGTTGGTGTGCACATTGCAGATGTCACTTCATACATTGAAAAGGGTAGCCACATTGACGTTGAAGCTTATCAGCGTGCCACAACGTTTTATCCCGGCCAAGGTATCAATCCATACCACATGTTGCCTAAACCATTGAGTACGAAATTATGCAGCTTAATTCCTGGAGAAACGAGACCTACAATATCCATATTTTTTACCTTTGACAAAAAGGAAGGTCTCCAAAAGCATTTAACTGAAATTAAAAGAAGTCAAATAAAATCAATTAAACAGCTGTCATATAAAGAAGCTCAAGACATTATTCTTAAGGTTGATACAACGATTTCAGATTCATTATGTAAGCAAGTTAATTGCTTGTTTAAACTTGCTAAAAACCAAAGGATTACCAGATTGGGCAGTGGAATGTTTTACTTTCCGATGGCAGTAGACGGTGAGGATGACGATTTCACGGATACACTGGAGGCTCATTATTTGGTAGAAGAATTTATGATACTTGCAAATCACACAATAGGGAAATTTCTCATAGAGAAATTTAAAGACTGCATTCCACTCAGAGTACAGCAGCCACCGAACCCGGAACAAGTAAGAACATGGCTGGAATCCCATGAATTTTATGCTGATTTGATAGTGAAGTTACAGGAAATTCGGCCGTCTCCAACATTATGGCATGATCGAAAGCTAACAATTGATAATACTCCGACAGCAAGATATACTAAGCTTCTTATGTATCAACATTGGGTTTGGAAAAAACTACTGTTAACAATCGAAAGAAAGGATTACACAGCCGCTAGTCAACTCATAGGTTGTGATGACTTACATCCATTCTCATGTTTGGCACTTGACGAGTGGTATGAATACCAAGAAAGAGCTGAATACAAATGTTCAGGTGAAGTACGTACAAGACAAGATGGTTCTCATTTTACCCTAGGAATGTTCCCATATACTCAGTTTACATCACCAATTCGACGTTATTTAGATATCATTGTTCATCGGTTATTGCATTGTGCTTTAGATAAGAAGGGTCCTTGCTACACAAAACATGAGGTTTCCGAACTGTGTTGTTACTTAAATGAAGTGACAAGGCGAGCAAAGAATTACCAAAAACAATGCAGGGCGTTGACATGGGGATACAAATTGATGAAAGAACCTCAAATTTTACATGGATTTCTTAAAACTGTTTCAGATAAAGAGGTATCAGTGGTTTTCCCAGGTCATAGATATCTACCAAAAAGTTCGAAAACTCTTCAACTAAATTATCTAAATGCTGCAAAGAAACCAGAATTTAAGACAGATAGGTTAAATGGTCGAAAAATTTTAGAACTGACTTGGAAAAAGAGATTATACTCCTTCAACGGGTATACGCCTATCAAGAAGAAGGAAATAAAGGAGGATGGTTACAGATTAAATCCTCATAACAGGGGATTTTTCCAGCAACAAAGGAAATGGAAACAAATACTGGAGAGATTTACAGCAGCAAAAAGTCCAAAGGATAAAATGAAAAAGTTACTAGAAACCATCAACGATGATGGATTAGGAGATTCGAAGGAAAACGTAGACAAACTTGTCGAAAACGTACCATCATGTTTTAAGACAGTAAAAGATGTTAGTTCTGAGGTACGAGAAGGATCAATCACATTACAAAGTTGTCAGTTTACAATGACCTTTAATCACCAACAAATAATTCCTCTTCAGCTGTCTGCCGAATCTGTAAAAGGTGTACTCATTCCACAAATCGAGATCTTCGATATGACAAAAAATGTCAAACATTGTTTCCTACATGTCAAAGACCCTATAAAATATCTAGAACAATACGCAACTTCTCCATCCAAAGAGCGGTACTTTAGTGCAGTCGATTATCTTAGAACATGGAAACCACTAGTAGAAATGGAATCAGCTTCAAACTCAGTCAAAAGTAGCACTGCGACAATAAATGATGTTCCTGTCAAATTTCTCTCACAGTATGAAGGTAAATTTTCATTAAGCAAAGGATTTTGTGACCAAAGAAATATTGAGATAAACAAGACACCTTTGAGTGTGTTTCTTACTGATAATGAAGAAGCCATAGATGAAGAAAATGAGGAAGGGATAAAGGAAATTGCTAGCCCAGATTATATATGTATTAAGTGTCCGATTTTTAAATCGCAAATAGACAAATGGGATCTGATCAAAGGAAATATTGCACCCAGTGATTATATCATTTGGATAGCACATGCAAAAATAGATAGAGCCCAGGTTCGAAAAGGAAAAACAGATTTTATATTCCGACTTCACAGAAATAGCAAACCGGTTCCTCTTGAACTAATGAAGGAAGATAACAGACATAGGCACAGCATCGAAATCATTTTCAAATCCAGTGCAGATCAGTGAGTACACATATTTTAGATAAAGAATGTGAAAGTCATTCAAAAGTACTTATTTAAGATTATTTCTTTAAATTTTCAGTTTAAATTATTTTGTCGTTTAAAATGACATATGAGATGATACAAAACTATCCATAATGAGAAATAAACAAATCGTTGGTTCATGTCTGTCAATTTTGTAAATTTTTATGTTATAAATTAGACCGTTAGTTTTCTCAGTTGAATTGTTTCATATTTTTATTATCGGGGCCTTTTATAGTCGACTATACGGTATGGGTTTTTCTCACTGTTAAAGGCCGTGCGATTTCCTATAATTGCTTACATCCACTTCATTTGAACTTTGGTGAATAGTTGTCTCATTGGCAATCATACCACATATCCTTATTTTTATATATTGACATTTGTTAAGAATATAGTTTCAATGGTCAATGTTATCCCCTCATTTATAATTTCATTTTTTAAGGAGAATAGATGCGGTTCTACAATGCCTCAACAAGGCTACCGCTTTAGCTAAAGCTATAGCCTTGGGAACTTCTATGCCAAAACTTGGTAAGTTGAATATATATATATATATACCACCACCACATTTGTAAAAAACGGGGTCATGACAACTGATCACCACACAAAGAAAACTGATAAACACCAGTTCCTTTCTCCAAAAAGTTGTCACCCGAAACACTGTTCCATCCCGATTTGACAAATATTTCATCTACTATCCGCAAGCACTGGCGTCTTATCAAAAATGACTCTTCCTTAAAAGAAATTGTCCATCACCTCCTGTTATTGCCTATCGCAGACCCAAAAATCTCAAAGACATACAAAGGAGAAAACAGAGAGAAAGGTTCTGGATGCATCAGCTACGTACTCTTGAACCTGATGGACTTAATGAGAGAGATGAAAAACAGTTCTACCCAAAACCAAAGGAATAAATCATGAACTTCATTTTATTTAACTAAATCAACTATTTGTTTTGATTTAAGATTTGCTATATACAATAAGCGGCAAAAATATTTTTCTAGACATTTAACATCGAGCTGCAAAAATTTCTTTACAGCCTCTAACTTTTACCTGGTTGGCTGCACGCGCCTGATGAAGCTAATTTGTTTAGCGAAATATTGCGTTAATAATATAAAATATAACAACTAATTTTAAAACACTCATTAGTGTGTTAAAGTTACATTCTTAGGCACTTTTATAATTTAATGTAGTAACTGCATCAGTTTAATTACAAACTGATCCATGCCTAGATAGATTGAATGTTGATTGTTGCTATTTTTAGACACTATATACTATTTTCCCAGGCAACACGCATGACACATCTTATTTTGTGTAATCCGTTCATATCTATTTCCTCGCAAGATCATGGAAAATAAAACATATTTCAATAAATTGAGAAATTTAACGAAAAAGAAAATACAGCTTGAACATCATGCTTCAAATCTTAAATCGTACATAGATAACAACACAATTCCAACAGGTTTAAATATCAAATTGACGCCTCAAACACCGGGTGTCAAGTCCACCAGATTTATGAAACGTTGGGACGATATTTTATTCAATTGTTCTTTCCGACTTCTTCAACTTTTACTCTCCTTTTCTATTTACGGCTACAAACAAATTAATTCGGAAATAAATGAAACGTTTATAAAAACACCACTGTCTGTTACTCCAGAAGACATGGAAGTAATTCAAAGAAGACTATCCGACATCCAAAGAATAGAGAAACAAAATTTCAAAGCCAAACAGAATAAAAAATTCAAACGAGACCGTTTAAACCTTTTGGAAGAAGATCCAATTTAAACATGTTAAAAGAAAGTAAATCAAAACAACCACTGCACTGCCTTTGTCTGCAGGTTTAATAACGATATTGTCGTTAGATCGTAAGTTTTTCAGTGCAGTTCGTTCTTCATTGGTAAGATTGTCAAAAGGTTTATTGTTATTTCTAGTATTTCTAATAATGTCCGACTTAAAATTGTCAATAAATGATTCCAAGGTGGCATTTTTGCTCGGTTTAGGGATCCAAGTACTCTTTTTTATAAATTTGTAGTTGTTCTCGTCTTCTGAAATTTCTGAGTCGCTATCCGTGCTTCTGTTGTTATTCTCCTTCGACGCGAAATAATCCTTAATGCGTAGACTTCTGGCAAAATTCCTGAATGCCTGGTCAAAATGCTCACGCTGGTACTAAAAAACAACAACTTCACTTTTGATGGAGATCATTATCTGCAAGTTAATGGAACTGCTATGGGCACCAAAATGGCTCCATCATATGCCAACATATTTATGGGCAAATTAGAAAAACAACTCCTTGAATCTTCCATCGAAAAACCGCTTTCCTGGTTTAGATTTATAGATGATGTGGATATGAAATGGAATAAAAGTGACGAGGATTTAGATACATTCATCACTCATGCCAACAACATACATCCAAGTATCAAATTTACTCATGAGAAATCTAAATCCAAAATCACCTTCCTCGATACCTCCAGCTCGCTCACAGATGGCATCATATCCACTGATCTATATTTTAAGCCTACTGACAATCACCAATATCTGTCCCCTAAAAGTTGCAATTCTGCTCATTGTACTAAGAGCATCCCGTACAGTCAGACACTCAGAGTCAAGCGAATATGTTCCAACACAGAAACAATTAAAAAACAACTACGTCAACTCGAAACCCGCTTGAAGAGAAGGGGCTACAAACACAGAACTATCCAAAAAGGTTTTCAGAAAGCGGAAACTATTCCAAGGAGTAAACTGTTAGAATACAAATATAAAAATAAAAATAAAAGGACTCCATGTGTTCTTACTTACCACCCATCTCTCAAAAACAGCTTCGGTGTCATTCGTGAGCATTGGAAAACAGTTGAAAAGAATTCCAAACTATCCAAGATATTTCCAGAGCCTCCCATGATAGCTTTTAGTCTGCGGAACCTGCTGGTTCGGGCTGAAGTGTCTGATAATAGAAGTACTTCTGGAGAATGTCGTTCGTGTGATGAAAAACGCTGCAAATGCTGCCTACAGATGCATCACTCATCAACTTTTCACAGTAAGGCAACCGAAAATAACTATAGGATATTTTGCAATGTTAACTGCAAAAGTATGAATGTTATTTACATTCTAGAATGTTCGGTTTGTGGCCTCCAATACGTTGGTGAGTCAAAGCAGCCTTTCCACAAACGCCTCAATGGCCATAGGAGTGATATCTCTAAGAAGCCACTTCTCCCAGTTTCTCAGCATTTCAGACAGTCTGGTCACAAACTTTAACCGCATAAGACCCTAGTGATTGAACAGAACAGAACATTCACTGGAGTGATGCCCAGCGACAGGTTCGGGAAAGCTTTTGGATAAAGGAACTAAGTGTACATCATCCAAACGGCATCAATAAAAAATACTAAGTTTTATTTTTCACTCATTTTGGGATGTAAATATACACAGTCACGTATATTTGAGTATTGAGTTTTGTTTTATATTATGATGTTCAGGATTTTGGATTAAATTAATAGACCAAAACTTACCTGTATAACTGAGCTATTTTTATACACATAATCAGTATTGCTAAAATTATTGACACCGAAGAAGGCTATTTGTTAAGCCGAAATATTTGTCAACACGATTTAATAACAACATCTTCGTATAATACCATCTTATATTAGTATCGTTGTGCAAATCTCTAGACTTATATAATTTTTTCCTTATCTGCACAGTATCGTCTATTCTAGACGATCCGGTACATAGTAAATTTGCTGGTTGGTCTTTTTTATAGACTTCTATATATATATATATATATATATATATATATAAATGTTGTTTGTGCTGTATTTAGACCCCTCTACCAAGAAATTTGTTTTGCATGCACACGTATAAAAATTGCTGTTTTTATCCAACGCAAACATAGGTTTGAACGTTGTTTTCAATTTAGACTTGTATATATATATATATTCAAGAGTCTATCCTAAATTGAGATAAATTATATAGCCTTCCAAATACCGTTTCGATTCCTAACATCACTGAAGAGACATTAATTGTCGAAATCCGGATATGGTGTACAAATTTTTGCACCTCATGTTTGCGGTTTACCATTTTTCCGCAAGTTTTTTGTTTTCTGTTTGGTATTAAATTAATAACTAAGATCCATTTTGTTACATCTGGTGATCCGTTTATTTGGCAATCACCATAACAGTCAGCAGAGTTTAAGAACATCCTTTGTTCGACCTGCTAGTCAAATGCGTTTTGTTAAAATATACTTTTTCACTTTTTTGGTCTTTTGGAAAATGTTGTTTGTGCTGTATTTATACCCCTCTACAAAGAAATTTGTTTTGCATGCACACGTATAAAAATTGCGGTTTATATCCAACGCAATCATAGGTTGGAACGTTGTTTTCAATTTAGACTTGTATATATATATATATATATATATATATATATGTATGTATAATAACTCTAAATATCAGCACAACAATGTTAAATCTGCAAATTTGCGGAAGCAAATTGTTGTTCCTCCCTCGCCGGGATTCGAACTCATGCTATTGGGATATCGAAATAACACCGCCTGCACTGTGTCCAGGGCTCTAGACCACTCGGCCACCTAAACTGAAATAATTCAGCTTTCGGTGGCCTAGTGCTACCTTTCCTCGTCAGTAGAATCTAGAGTTGTAACACAGTACATGATATATTACGCATGAAGATGGAATTGATTGAAGATTTGTTAAATATCTATCGTAAAAGATCGTACGATACAGTCATAGAAATAATTATTTTAAGTACATCTAAACATGTGACAACTCTACGACAGATCCATCTATTGGATCACCAGTGAATGTGATACACGGATATATATATATATATACAAGTCTAAATTGAAAACAACGTTCAAACCTATGATTGCGTTGGATAAAAACCGCAATTTTTATACGTGTGCATGCAAAACAAATTTCTTGGTAGAGTGGTCTAAATACAGCACAAACAACATTTTCCAAAAGACCAAAAAGTGAAAAAGTATATTGTAACAATATATATATATATATATATATATATATATATATATATATATATATATACGTTAAAAAGAGTACAGCAACACAAAACAATAGTGATAATAAAAACATGAAACAGTAACTTAATACAAAATTCAATAATATTTTGCACAACAAAAAGCCTGGTATAAAATAATGTTATAAATATTGTTTGTTTCGAACAATATTTAACATCATACAAATTAAACACCTTCATGACAATTTATTCTTTAGATAAAGGCCATCTTAAACTAGGCAGGGACACCGAACCAGATGTTATGAATATAGGATTGGTTGGCAATAACAAACAACAGTATAATGCTATACAGAGAGCGTTGACAACTTCATTCAGTTTAATACAGGGTCCACCAGGTAATATCATATAGCTGTTAATTTTATATTTGCTATGATATGTAATGTATGTAATCATCAGGAATTTTCATGAATTGACATAGTAGAATTTCAAGTTTTTAGCAATTGCATCAATGTCAAATATTATGTTAAAAAAATTGCTTAGGACAAGGAAGGTTCCGCTGAAGGTTCCTATTTTGTGATATACCATTAGCCAGAAATTAAGTTTGAACAATAAGATAAAGGACAATGACTTTTGCTTAGAATCTTTTAAAGGCCTATCTTTTTATCAAGTGGACATTATGGCTGTTCTGTTTAGATCCGTTTTGCTTTTATCCTGGCTTTCAAAAGATTTTAATGGATCTTACCTTTTGAATGTTTATCCGGAATAATTGCCGAGTTCATGGAAATATATACCATACACCTTGGTATGTAAATCTAATTTGTCAGATATAATAATCTTTAAACCGATAAATTTTGGGAACACGTTTCTACATTTCAAATTATTTTTTTCATTCAAATTTGAATTTAATATTGCTTAACACTCAAATATGTACACCATTTGGAATATCATTGTATACTCTGTTGGTCTTAAAGATACTTAATTGCTCTGTCTTTATTTTTTTTTTACATGCATTTAGGATTTGGTTATTACACTTCAATGGTTCCTATCATTTTGAATTACAAATCAACCGCGCTATTAAAAAAAGCAAACTCATTTAACGTTCAGACGTTCTAAGTTGCAAAACTTGTGTCTGATCCTATTGTCATTGTTTTTGGACAATAAAATATGTTTAAACTAAACTCATTTATACATTCTAGGTACTGGAAAGACCTATACAGGTATCAAGCTGGTTTACCTGTTTGATCAAATTAACATGAAATGGAAGGAGATGGGCAATGAGAAGAAACAGATTATTTTCTGTGGTCCATCAAACAAATCTGTAGATCTAGTGGCAAGTAAGTGTTGTTGTAAACATGAATATTACAAACTGACACAATTAAGCAATTACTAAAGTCAAGTCTTACAAAACAGATAAATGATAACTATATAAAGAATATTTCAACAAAACTGTTTGTCTCTCGGTCATAATATCTAAATATATCTCACTTTTTAGGTTGGATGAAGAGAAGATTAGGCGATAACTGTCCACAAATGGTTCGATGGTATGGGAGTTCTATTGAGGATCAGGAATATCCTATTCCTGGAAAAACGCCTCCAAATACACGTGGAGAAAGAGCAAAGGCTGACGAAAACTTGCGTAAAGTATCCATGCATATATTAATAAGGCAGGTGGGAAAGCCTTACCAGGAAGACATTTCAGCTTATGACAGGCAGTTTAAACAACATCCTGATGGAGTTGATTATAAAGTTGTAACAAAGTACAGAAGCATAATCTCTAAAGCTGTCATTGAAGAGGTCAAGCTATATGACGTTATTTTTTGTACCACAGCTATGGCGACGAATCCTAAACTACTGAAAGGAACAAGGGGTCGGATTTTCCAAATTATCATTGACGAATGTGGCATGTGTACCGAACCCGAAAGTATAACCGCCATTATAGCAACAAGAGCTGAACAAGTAGTACTTATTGGTGATCACAGACAACTACGACCAATTGTTAAGTCTACCTACGCCGCCAAACTAGGACTAGAGAAGTCTTTGTTTGAAAGATATGCCAATAAAGCAACTCTTTTGACTTCACAGTACAGAATGGTATGTTTCATATAAATAATCCCTTATAACCATTTAGAACCACATTATGTATTATAATCTTTAGAACCACATTATGTATTATAATCTTTAGAACCACATTATGTATTATAATCAGATATATATTGCGATACTCCTGATACTTAAAAAAAAGGAGTGAATAGGCAATTAATAATTAAAAATCCTTCAAAGACAACACTTGAATTCAAAATATTGAACATATTGGTCTTTAGCTTTTAAATTCCTCGGTGATCGGTATTTCAAACATTAGAGGTGCATCCTTTCAGTGTCATTTCAAAGTTACTCAAATTTATAACACAATGTATTTCGATCATCTCAACTGTATATTTTGACGTCTGTGTTGTATCTATAATATATACTTCAAGTGAGTTTATTCTATTTGTAGAATCCTCAAATATGTGCATTTGCTTCGCAGCAGTTTTATAACAATAAATTGAAAACAAAGCCTTCATATATGTGGATGACCGATATTCCATTGAGATCTTGGATAAATAAAGATATTCCCGTAATATTCTGCAATGTTGCGGGCAAGGAGGATTATCTTCCTTTTGACACAGATGAAGGAAATGAACAGTCCTGTTCTAACCAAGAAGAAGTGGAACATGTGGTATGTCAATTAAAAAAGTATATTTGAAAAGTTATTCTAATTACCACTAAAAAAACTATACATCATGTCCTTACAGGAGACCTCAACATCGTCGAAGACCGTGAGGTCATAAATTTTCTTAAGAAAGGACCGAAATATCGTCTTTAATCTAAAATAGATTGGAAACAGTGTCGTCAGGTCATTAAAGACGCTCTGTCTGTCTACTGTAAAAATTGGTGTAAACGTGAAAAATCTGATAAAAAATCTCTAGACAGTTATTTGAATAAAATTATGAATACTGTTAATATTCGTATATCTCATTTTGAAAATAATTCTGAAATTAGTAATAGGGTCCATGATATTCCCATTTCTAGAATAAAAAAATAAACTCCAAGTACTCGCAAAGCGGTTTGTGTTCGTACCGGCAGACAAAGCAACAAATAATGTAGTGGTGGTGTGACGCATATACTACACGGATGTTCTCCAAAACGAAATTACAAATTCTTCTACATTCAGGTCCGTACGCTCCACAGAGAGTCAAATTGTAAACAAGCATATCACTGCCACTACCCAGCTTAAAGCCTCTTCCGAACATTTGAAAGTCCCTACTATGTACTGGTTACCTAAATTGCACAAAAAACTATTTAAATTCCGTTTCATCTCCGCATCTAGTGAGTGTTCTACTACCAATCTATCAGTGCTTCTAACTACCTCCCTTACTACTATCAAAGAACTTGTTATTAACTTTTGTAATAAAGCTTATGAAAATAATGGTACTAATTATTTTTGGAGTGTTAAAAATTCTTTAGAGGTTTTAGATAAAATACATGCTTTTGATGGTCCTTTTAATTCTGTTGATACTCTCTATACTACACTTCCACACAATCTTATCAAGAAAAAGTTTTCATATTTAATTAAATGGTCTTTTGGAAAATCTCATTACAATTTTATTTGCTGTAACTCGTTTAAAGCCTTTTTCTGTAACGAAAAAGGAAAGTATGCTAGATACACTTACTGGAAATCTGAAGATATGATTGAAGCTTTAAATTTTCTCCTGGACAACATATATGTACGTTTCGGCGATAAAGTGTATCGACAAGTAGTAGGTATTCCTACTGGCACTAACTGCGCCCCTTTAATAGCAGATTTATTCCTGTATTGCTAGGAATCTCAGTTTATGACCAAACTCAGTAAAGACACGTCATTGTTACATTTGGTTGATACATTCAACTATACCTTCCGTTATCTGGATGATATTTTTGCGTTAAATAATCCAGAGTTCTCTAAATATACTACCGAAATTTATCCAAAAGAACTTACTTTAACTAAATCTAACATAAACAGCAGTAGTTGTCCTTTTCTAGATTTGGACATTTCAGTCTCTAAAGGAAAACTCCATACTAAAATTTACGACAAAAGAGACGACTTTTCATTCCCTGTTGTTAATTTTCCTTTTTTAGACGGCGATGTTCCTTTGGCTCCATCATAAGGTGTTTATATATCCCAACTCGTTCGTTATGCCCGTGTGTGTAGTGATGTCATAGATTTTTACGAACGTAATCAATGCATCACTGGTAAATTATTAAGTCAGGGATTTCGTTACCATAAATTACGTAAAACATTTACTAAATTCTTTCATAGATACAAAGATTTGATTAGTAAATTTGGCTGTACCTGTAGAAAACTGATTAAAAACGGTATTCCATATCCTAGATTTCACGGTAATATTGTACTTAAAGCGCGGAAAACACTATGTGCTCCGTGTAAACTCATCGAACCTTTAAACAAACTTATTAGTAAAGGTTATCTTACCAATGTTGTAATTAGATCTTTGAATATAGTTTACATTGGCACTAATATCGATTTTTTCATCAGCAAATTAAAACATAACTAAATTTGTATTCTTTTCAAACGGGATGATAAAGACACACCCACGTTCATTTTGATCTATAAAGAGGTTAACTCCTAACTATCCTACTGCCTGTCGATACATTTATTTTTTGCATTGCACAAGTCATGTCTTCTTTGACTGTTCATGACGTTAAAATACTAAATCCCTGGGATGTGTTTTAGTTGATTTTAGTTTCTGATGCATGATTTTTTTTATTATTAATTGTTTTTGGCTTTTAACTAGCTGTCAATAATTGCGAGTACTCTCAAATCGTACTTTCTTGTTTATTTGACCTGTTGATACTAATTGTAATTTTTTTTTATTTGATGTTATTTATTTGGGTTATATCTGGTCTATATACCAACTTTGATAAGTGTTTGGTATTACTATAAATTTTCACTTCTTCGTACTATGAACATCAAAATTATTTATTTTCTAAAAATATTTCTTTTCTCCATTTGAACTGTACACGTTTACCTAACAACAAAATTATTTGCATTTACCTGTGTTTAAAGTAATTGCAAATGGCTGATATTTTTGTTCAAGCATATTGTTTTTCTTAAATTGTTTAACATTTCACAGCGGTATAACATGTTACTTTAATTATTCTTCCCTTAGTTTATTTATTTTGTATTTACATTGTATCATAGATCAAATTTATTTGTTCAGTGTATGTTCACTGATGTTAATATGTCTTTCGATTGAGTTAAACCATTTCAATTAATATTTTATAGTGTGTCTTTCCATGTTGTGATTTCACACTATTGTTTCAGATAAGGGTGATGGGTTGGTACCATTAAAACGTTTAAACCCGCTGTAATTGTTTGCACCTGTCCTAAGTCAGGAATCTGATGTTCAGTAGTTGTCGTTTGTTTATGTGGTTCATAAGAGTTTCTCGTTTCTCGTTTTTATATATATTAGACCAATGGTTTTCCCGTTTGAATGGTTTTACACTAGTAATTTTTGGGGCCCTTTATAGCTTGCTGTTCGGTGTGAGCCAAGGCTCCGTGTTGAAGACCGTACTTTGACCTATAATGGTTTACTTTTATAAATTTTGACTAAGATGGAGAGTTGTCTCATTGGCACTCATACCACATCTTCTTATATCTATAAGTTTTTGGAACTGATCATGCATATACTTGTATGGCTAAGGTGTACAACAAAGGCAAAGTTGATTGCAGAAGGATTAAGCTTTTATGTAAAGTATGTTGATTTTAATTTTTTACTCTTGAACCTTCATGTTCAATGCTTATAAAATTTCTGGTTTCGAACATGTGTGATAAACTTTATTTTAGTTGTTATCGTTGATATCGGTTTCATACTATTATAGTTATATCATCACCACTGTGTTGGTACCGCTGCTCGACTGTCAGTCTTGAGGGTAGAATTCTTCCAATATTCTTTGACTCATAATTTTACATGGTTGGTATTAAACAGTTTAGATGTGAATAATGTTATTCTACAATAACTAATATTACAGGCATTTTTTTTTAGATCAATTGGCTGTCCTGAATAGTTCATTTTTATACTCCAAACGTATTTAAATAGTTTTCTTCATACAATCTCATGCGAATAGAAGAGAAGACAACACAAGCCATAACTTATACATTATGTATACTTAACGTAATTAGTATCAGAAGTATGATACATTTGTAATAGTCTCGGTGGCCAAATGGTCTAAGTTGTCGAAAGTTCGAATCCGGCACGTAGAAAGTGTGTTCGACTCCAATCTTATTTGACTAGGACTGTCAGTTTTCTTACTGAAGGTTGGTGGTTCACTCCGGGCACTCCGGCTTTATCCCCAATAAAAAGTGATTGCCACGAAATAGCGCAATAACAGTAATCAATAAATAAATCGTTTGTAATAGGAGATGGAACATGCATGGTTCAAATTGAATTACCTCCTATTTATTGAAAAGAAACTGAATATTACAATGCATTATATTTACATGCAATGCTGGATACATTACATACTTAAGTTAACTTCACGTTCCACCATGTAGATGGTGTCCTTTTAAAGTTTGGTGACTTGTTGAACGCATCTATCCCATCGAACTTGAAACAAAGGTTACCAAAAACACAGTTAAGTCTTCCTCATAACTAATTTTATAGCTAGCTTAACCTTCCTACTTGTATAACAGTTGTTTATGGTTCCAATAATAGTTCTAAAGGAAAATATTTAAAAGAGAAGTACAAACCATGAGATAAAAAAAAAGATAATTTTGTTTTGTAAAGGTAAAGATCTTTAAACATCTGGTTGATGAAGAATTGATAGATCCAGAATACAACATCAATATCATGAGCCAGTATAATGCCCAGTGTACAGCAATCAGGAAAGCACTGAAAGCAGCAAACTTTATAAAGTTTAACGTGAATACAGTTGTAGCCAGTCAAGGTTTGTCACCTTGTTTTATTATAACATATATTTCAATGTTTTTTTAATGTCTATATTTTCAATTTCAAAATGAGATACAAGTGATAGTAGCATCTATCAAGGAACCTCTTGTTAAATAATTCAATATATTACATATGGTTTGATTTTTCTTGTTTTTCATTTTTTTATTTGGTCACTTGTTTTCCAATATATATTTTGTATTTTTTTCACTATTTTGACATATTGACTCGATGTTACTATTTTTAGAAAAAATATTGACTCCATGTTACTAAGAATAGTAACATCGAGTCAATATCATTTCCAAAAATAGTTAAATCGAGTCAATATCATTTTTAGACTTACACTCTTTACATATGTAATATATAAATTAAGGACTTTCACTCAGTCAATACGTTATATTTTGACCTGTTAGATTATATTGAACCTCGGACATCGTCCTCGGCCAATATAATCCGAACATAATCATATACGATCCTTTAAAATTTGTTTCTGTGAGCAGAAACTATATCGACCTTCACGTCTTGTTGGGTGTCATGAGGGTTTAAGATTGATAATCAAACATATTTCATTTAAAAAAAATAGCTATATTTATCAATTATGGACTTTTTGGCGAGGTCAATACGTTATATATTGATATATCAATATATAACGTATTGACCTCGCCAAAAAGTCCATAATTGATAAATATAGCTATTTTTTTTAAATGAAATATGTTTGATTATCAATCTTAAACCCTCATGACACCCAACAAGACGTGAAGGTCGATATAGTTTCTGCTCACAGAAACAAATTTTAAAGGATCGTATATGATTATGTACGTTTGCAACATTAATTACAAAAATTGGAAGTCAAGTTTATTTTTGATGGTTACTGCAATTGCAAATCAAATGTTATTCTCCCAATTATCTTTTAAAGGTAACAGATTTTCACATGAAATATTAAGCTCAATGATCAGAACGTTATGACATTACTATCGTCCATGAAATACCCATCACGTATGGTTTTTACTTTTGTCATCATTCTAGATTAAATTTTATGCCCATTGGATTATATAAAATGATCAAACCGTTTTTTATATATTTACCAAACTTCGCTTTGATTTAGAGCCTTATAACTTTGCTATAGTAGCATGTTCCAATAAGATACTGACGAAATGTTTACTATTGTCAAATTAACCGTTCAGCAATTTGTTTTGCAACAGGAAAAACGGATGCTTTGGAGGACAACTTAAGTTCGATATGGAATGGAAGATTGTAATTATGTAACTTGTTTACCTACCACTTAATGAAGTTGAAAAAGGAACAAATTACCAATGGGCTATACAAACGCCTTCAGTCAGAGAATGACGGGCATCACCATGACAAAAATATTAAAAAAATAATTTGAATAGAAAAAAGTTTCTTCCATAAAACTCAAAAGAATAAACTTTAAATTGTGTTAAAAAAAACATGCCACCCAAATTAAACCACCAAGTTCCTCCAATATTCGTGACAAATATCGTGTTACCCTTGTTAAAGCTAACTCGATCACAAATGGATTAAAATTCGTATAAATCATCGGTAGATTTACATACTCTATCTCTTATTGATTACCGAATGTAAAAATTTAAAAACAAAGTATTTGGAGATTTGGGACAAAGGTAAATCATATAAGGAACCAACACATACAATGAAAAAGAGAACAGAAAAAAAGTGAAATCAACGAATTTTTTTTTAAAAAGAACTACATACATAGTTGGTGCTTTTTCTCTTTGTCTGGGTGCCGTTTAGAGAGTGTTTGTTGGCTTAGTTAAAAATGTGTTTGTAAGGTTAATGTGGACAGTCATTTCATACCTCTTTTAATTCATTAAAGTTTAATAAACTTTCACACGTGAGTTTTCTCAGATTTTAAATATTGTAACCTCTTAATATTATGTTGATATATATATATAGGTGGTGAATGGGACTATGTTATCATGAGCCTGGTAAGATCTTTACCACATTACAGAATAGAACCAAACCCTACGTTGGGCTGGTGTAAACAAAACCTAGGTTTTATCACTGACGAACACCAAACAAATGTGGCCTTGACAAGAGCTCGTAAAGGACTTATAGTTGTAGGTAAGTTGACAGGATATTTGATTTGAATATTTATAATCAAAACTAGTTAAAACAAATGAAAAATGAAAGATGGAAATGACCATTACTGCTAAAAATTTTCAATGTTAATGTCGTATATTTGAAGAAAAAAAATCAACAATACACATGTGATGTTTCGGTACATGAAATATTAGTTGCTTTTGAATTTATGAAAGGAATTATCCTTTATAAGGTCAAAGTAAGAAAGTATAAATCCAATTAAAGTTTGCAAGTAAGTACTGCCAAGCAGGCCTTTTATAATACTTCTAACTACTGTTTCTTTAAGCTTTAAAAGTATCATATTGTCCATTTTTAGCTATATAACTTGCTTAGATGAAGTCTTTTTGTCTATTACAATCTGAAAAAACAATAACCAAACCCTTCCATCTAATAGATTTGTTATAAAAAGGTGTATATCGAGAAACATTCTGACAAAAAAATGTGGGTTGAATTCATCCATAAATACAAGTGTTCTAGCAAAATGTAGAAAAAATAGTCAAAATAATCTTTCGTCAGAATGTACAACATAATGACAAAATAAAATGAAATTAAAAGACCTGGGATTGAACATAAAAAGGAACGAGTTATTTACTGACACAAGAATTATTGAAAAATGGGTTGAAAGATTGAAATTTGACCTTGTGTAGAAACGACACAAGCCCCTCCTTTTCGAAATAAATAAAAGGATTTTTGATATGCATAAAACGTAGATCTCTCAACACACTTCATTCATTATAGTAAAAATTCAGACTTTCTATATGATAACCTGACTTAGGAACATACCTAGAACAAGGTATCCTCCATCTTCGTATCCTACGGTGTTTTTAAGAATCAAGATTTTTATATATATGCTTTGTAGGACATAAGGAGTTGTTAACGTGTAATGAAGTATGGGGAAGTTTTATTAACCATTATGGCAGACGGGGTTGTGTGGTTGATAGAGAAGAATTTCCACCAAAACCAGTTCCAAAAAGAATCAAGAAAAAGTCAAAGAATAAAGGAAAGCAAACGTTTGAAGAGCAAACCGAGAATCTTCAGCAGGTCAATAATGGCCACGCATAGTCCTGAATGATTTGTAAGAAGCCCCTACATACGCTTTCAATTCAAATGAGTACATATTCTTTAAACCTCGTACCTTCTTTATCTACCATAAATACAATTGTGAAGTAAGTTTTTTTTAAATACAAAAATGCAGAGATGTGAAATGGTTGTCACTGAGACAGCTATCCATCAAAGATCATAGACAAGGATGAAAACAACTACTACTCACCGTATAACCTTCAACATGATCACAATTAATACCATATAGTAAATATAAAAATAAAAAGATGTGGTATGATTGCCAATGTAACAACTCTCCATCAAATACCAAATGACGTAGAAGCTTTCAAATATAAAAAGAAGATGTGGTATGATTGCCAATGACACGACTATCCACAATAGACCAAATGACACAGAAATTAACAACTATAGGTCACCGAATGGCCTTCGACAATGAGCAAAGCCCATACCGCATAGTCAGCTATAAAAGGCCCCGAAATGACAAATGTAAAACAATTCAAACGAGAAAACTAACGGCCTAATTTATGTACAAAATAATGAACGAAAAACAAATATGAAACACAGAAAGACTGCAAGATATAAAAATGTGAAATCATTAAAAACAGAATCCTATGGTCTGAAATTAAACTATAACAAATTTTGGTAGACAGAAACCAACGACAACCACTGGAATTCACGCTATCATAGTTGGGGTTATTAACGTGTTGAATGTGACAGTTTTAACATGTTTGTGAGCGCTCAACAATGTCCCTAAACTGGCACATTTATGAAACAGTTGGAACAAGCATAAAAATGAGAAAGTCTTGAGTCACCAGATCGGTATTAAGCACAAACATGTCAATTATCTAGCCTGAAAAAAAGTCTTTTTGGTCTTTGTAAAGATAAAATTTACTTTCGAGGGATCTTTTCGGTTTCTGAAATTGAAACATCCATTGATAGTTTCACACGTATATTAAACAAAATCACCTTTATCTTAGGTGCAAAATATACTCATATTACTTCATAAGTTATCAGGATAAAAGCGATTGATATAACGGAAGTATTTATCCAATAGCAAATTAGAACAATTGATATGTTTTTGTAGATACAAGTTCTGTTTCGTCGTCTGATAGTACATTCTATTACTGTTTTGTGTGTTTCTGGAGACGATTTATATCTTACAAGTAAATTGAAACGCTTAACAGTTATTTTATTGTGAAAACCATATGTGATTATCACAATTTGCTTTCTTATTTGCAGTTTTTATGTACATGTATGTATGATGTAAGAAAAACATATCTTTCGATGCAGTTTAAATCCTTTCGAACAAAGCTTATCTTACACAATCTTATAGTGTTTTAATAAAATAATACTATATGAAAGTTTTTTTTTCCACTAGTAATTTTTATAGTTCTTTTGACGAATATGTATATAGTAACCAAATTCTTGAAATCATATGTAAAACAACATTTATTTGACCTTAAAGCGAGGAGAAGTGGGACGTAGTCAAAAGGAAAATTAAAGGTTATTTTGAATGCATCTTTGTAAGATGACCAGTAATACAACTTGAGAAATTATTTTTGTTGAATATTCCATTTGATTTTTATACGTAAATATCATCCGACATCCATCTTCAGAACATACTTTATAATTACATGATGATCCAGAATAATTTTTATATGGCTACTTTAGTGCTATATACTGAATTGTATTTTGTAATAAGAAAATACATTTTAATGTATTCTTCACGCAAAAGCATCCCAATAAAGCATGGAAGTAAATGATAAATAAAATATTGAAATTCATTGCAGCAATAATATTTGTGGTGTATTATGATAATCTGATCATTATTTATGTTTCTATTATATTACCAACTATGATATGAACATTGACTGCGAAAAACAATTATTATTTCTTTTTTTGTAAATGTTTTATTTATTTTAAATTATTTGATTATGTTTGTTCTTCAGCAATGCTTTATTCTTTATATTCTACTTGGAAATTGCAAAATATGAATTTCATTGATGATTTTTTTTCTTCATGAAAGTATCTTTTTTTTCTTTGTTTCTGTAAGAAATATTGACAATCCAAAATAAAGCTGTAAAATCACCTAAAAGAATTCAATACAAATCTGATTTAAGTTCATCAGATTCTGTCCTAGCAAATCTTAATTCGTAATTTAAGAGATGTAAATATAAGCGCCCTAAACAAAACCACAAAACTATTGACAAATGATGACGATGAGCCTAAGGTTTGAATATAAAGTCCTTTGTTACGATTTTGCTAATAAGAATAAATCAATCAAATCTCGTCGTATACTTCAACACTAGCTAATTTGTTGATGATACTACTGGGCTACGGTCCTGGCATTTGAATAGCCAGGTATTGACCAATATATAACTTTAGATCTTCACACTTATTTTACTCTAATATATAATCAATGTCGAAACGATAAAAAAGTCTACAATGGTTTGTCTGTCCACTAATTATTGAATATAGTTAATCATTTAAGAATAATGCATAAAAAGGGATAACAACACAGTATAATGGTCGCACCAAACATCATGAAGAATTGACAAATATATATTATTTTCCTTATATGAAGGTCTGGAGAGGTGTCCAGATTCCTGTTTCCTTTATTTCTAAATATTAAGATCTCTTTTTTATTTTCTTTATTTGGTTATATTATTTTGCTAATTATTCTCTTTTCCGGAAACCCATTGAGATCCACGTATTATGGCCGTTTATTTTTTTTTTTATTTTTTGAAGTCTTTGCTACCAATGTTGAATTTTCTTCTTCATATGCATATCAATTATTTAATACGTTAGGTCTTTCATTATTCTTAAGTTTGAAAAAAAATGAAATAAATTGAGTTTTGCAATTTGTGTTAAGCATGTGTTCATATTTTAAGTAGCATAATCACTAGCGGTAGAAAATCATAGGAGATAGATGAGTGAATTATATTAAAAATCCATACAACAGGAAAATAATTTTCGGCTTTGAAAAAGAAAGTCGAAAGATACCTAAGAGATATTCACACTTAAAAGTCAAAGACTAACTGACAACACCATGGTAAAAAATGAAAAACGACCAAAACAGTTTTTAAAACACAAAATAGAAAGTTTACTACTGAGCCCAACCACAAACTGGGTTGATCTCATGTGCACCTGTAAGCAGATCCTATTTCGCATATGGCAGCCGTCGTGTTTTATAATGTGTACGCCAGACGCGATTTTCGTCTACAAAAGACTCATCAGAGACCAACAGATCCAAGAACGTGAAAATATGCTCTTGTAAATTGAGATACATGCATATCATTAATACCAGACACTACTGTATGGTGACCATAATAATAGATAGTGTCGATATTTGTCGTTTTTCCTTTTAATTCTAATAGAGCAATCTTGTGTAAGGTGCACGCCACATTTGATGAATTCCGTAAATTGCTAGCAAACACGAACGTAAAGTTTAATTCGGATATGTGAGCGCAGATAGTATTTTACAGCCGAGAAAGGGATGTTGATATTTGAAATGTAATCTTCACGTCGATCATAAACTTCAGTCTGAAGTCTATCAAAATCGAGAAAAAGATCAAGATGTGAAGCAGAATTTCTAGTTCGGAAGCATTTGAAAAACCCGTATTCAATTGACCTCTTTTTGAATATATATCATCTTAATATTTCTGAAGACCATCTTTTACTGAAGAAAGTGTGTTAGTTGGAACTTAGGGTTCCAGTTGAAAGACGTAATATTTTTATAGTTTTTTCATAATAAAAACGTAGGAGATAAGGACGAATATGTCCTTTTATAAAGTATCCTCTTTCGTTCTCTCATGAATTATGTAGGATTTCCATATTTGCTGCGAATTTCATGTTCTTATAAGTTAAAAGTAATGATCAAAACTATTGTTTATCTACCACAATATTTCACAAATGCTTGAGCATTTCATTTACATCATCTTCTTGTGTGTTGAATAAACCGTAGAGTCCGAGAAAGTGTTGCTCAGCTATTCATCTGCAAAAACTAAATGACCACATCTGGTTTGTAACAGTCATTCTAAATAAATGTACTAGATACAGATTCCTCAATTGTCTGGAAATTTCAATATTCAATATATATAAGGCATATTAAGAACAGCAGAATAAAGACTTTGATGCAATAACTATTTGTTCATCTTCTATCCGAGAATCGATATAAATTTTACTAGGTAAAACGGGTCAAACTGTTTAATGGCAACAAGTGACAACGCATTTTGTCTACAAAAGAGTCATTCGTAACGCTTGATTCAAAAAAAATAAAAGGCAAAATAAAGTTCGAAGTTGAGCGTCGAGGACTCAACATTCCGACTTGTTTAAGTAAATAATCAAACGAACAAACTTAAAGTTGTTGACTATTTCTTTTTGGGAGATATTTGATATTCATAGATATTTTGTTTTCTTTACCTACTGGTTCCCAGATATGATCTCAATGTTTCATATCGTAAATACACAATTGGGGATTTTTACCAGTTTAAAAACTGATTGATAGCGGACAAATTAATTTTCAGGAAGACTCAAAGTAAAGGAGGGGTAGTACAGAATTGTAGATTAAGTATAAACTCTTAGAAGTTCAAGGCATATGAATGTTGAAAATATGCCTCACAACCCTATATCTAAACATACATTATTTGTTGCATGATGCTATGCATCAATACATCAATCAATTAATCTTTGTAGTAAAATTTGTCCCTTTTTGTAAATGAATGGAAGTGTTTAAAGGAGGAAATATAACAAATATCATCTCCCGTTATCAAACAAAGATTGTTCCCCTTTATCATTATTACTAAAATAAAGACAACAGTAGTATACCGCTGTTCAATAGTCATAAATCGATTAAGCGAAAACAAATTCGGGTCACAAACCAAAACCGAGGGAAACACATCAATTATATAACATACACATAAACAACGGAACAACAGAAGTACTGAACTTCAACAAAAACAAACGCCAACATACATAGAAACGAACTATTTGATAACAACTGCCAAATTCCTGACTTGGTACAGGATATTTTAAGAAAACATGGTAGGTTGAATCTGGTTTTATGGCTAACCAAACCTCCCGCTTATATGGCAATGTTAAAAATACCGCTAAAATGACAACATTACGTAACAGGACAGAGAAATTCATAATAAAATAATATAATATAATAATAAAAGACACAAAATGAAAGAAATATACTATCTAGCAATTCGAAAGTGACTTTAAAAATAAATCATTGACACAACCATGATAGATGATTGATAATTCTCTTGGAAAGAGTTTAATTTGTTTTAAGCTGATAATTCAGCCAACTATTATTCATTGGTTTGACGTAAGTACTGAACCGAAATACTCAACACTGTGGTTTCAATTATTGCCCGTGGATAACTTTTCTTTCACATACTTTTTGAATACGCCAGTTACGATATATGGTAATTAGTTGTATCTGTCATGTGACTTTCATCACCACGTGACCATAATGTAGGCATCGTCACTTCCAACACATATTGAGTAAATAGGTGAACAATTTTGATGCTAAAGGTTTCAGACCACCAATTCAAAATCCCCATCTATTCCATCAATTTTTTTCGATTTGCACAGCTTTCGAAATATTTTACCTTAGGTTTAACTTCATAGAAACCGATATATTCTGAATTGTTCATCTATCACCTTTCTACATGCCAAATTTTAGCCCATGTTAAAGTCTTGTAGTGAAATACCAATGTTCCGAAGGTTACTACTACTAACAACAACCCCTGGTTTTCTGGAAATTTTAAATAAGTATACTTTGGAGTGCATTATCCTGAATTTGTAAGTAAACAATGATATTAAAAGCACTATTTTCTGTCAGGGAAGGGCTTCTTTTACATATGTTCTAACTTGGAATGAATGAATTGGTGGTCTGACACATATACTGCACGAAATATTCGGGAAATAAAAATCTGATTAGTTGGTCACTGTCCTTTCAGTCGTAATGGGGCATTGAGATTAAGTACCTACGGAACATAAATTATTTCTGGACTATCCTGCAGAATGACGAACCTGAAGAATCTTGAAACTTTAATAAGTGCAAGAATACAGGCGCGCCTTCTATCTGGTAAATGACGTCATAAAGGAGTGCGTAATTGACGATCTTTTCAGATAAAAGACATGAATTGAGTTATAGCCTTTTAAGATATAAAGGAACACATTTTGGCAAAACATACTACAACACGCAACAATTTTTATAACTATGTGCATATTGGTTTGTTAGAATACACAAGACACCGTAAAAAGTTTCTTTCAAATTAAATTTTTCTTCAAGTAAATATTTCTGTTCTCAGAACATTTAAGGAACCCGTAATAAAACATTGTAAACAAAACTAAAGTGATTTAAACTATTTCTCCGTTGATAAGTATGATTTCTCGTCTTTATAGGTTACAGTTTGTAAATACATCTGTTCCACAACTCACGCCTCTTTTTGGGGAGATATATAGTATTCATAGATATTTTGTTTTGTTTACCTGTTTCATCTCGTAGAGACATAACTTGGAAATGTTACCAGATACACATGGATAGCAGTGAAATTGCATTCTGAGGAAGACCCAAAGTGAAGGGAGGTGTAGTACAGAATTTTAGTATAAGTTTAAACTCTTAGAAGTTCGGGGCATATAAATGTTGAAAATATGCTGCACAGCTCTATATTTAACCTTTGAAAAAAAATAGTAGTGCATATGAACTTTACATTCTTGGATACAATCTTTTACGAAACTTCATAGCAAAAGTGGTACAGTTTTAGCCGTAAAAGGAGTTCCAATGGGAAATTGCATTTTCTATATTTACAGAAGTGCAGCCTATAGCTAGATGACAATATTGTCACGATATAAGTATAATGGTTTTGGAAATCCTTGTGTTTGGCATTGTTTGGAGATAATATCAATTCGATGAATTACAAAGATAATTCAGTTTCAGCAAGTAAACTATAAAAAAATCTGATAAAATGGAGCATTCAGGTTCTGTTCATTAGACTGCTGTATTTTTTTTCAATTCTCTTAATTTTGTATTTGATTTGGTGAGGCTTCACTAATTGGTCTATTATAGACTAAAAGCACGTTTGACATACCTAATGAAAAGTTTGCAGTTTGAAATATATGCACTGCAATAAGGGGTATGAGGCAACATGATTTATAAATCTCATTACTCTCAGCTTGCTTTCGCAATTTTGCAATACCGTACACCTGTTTTTTTATTTGTTTTTTATACACTGGTAAACTGAAATTATAGAATTAAAGATTGAAGGGACACACGCAAAACCCATTGGACACATGAATTCTTCCCTTTTATGTATAGTGTTTTACAGTCAGTCGTTTTTCTTTTGCTTTAAAATATTTAAATTCTAATAAATCAATTGAATTATTATCCAAAAAAATATATATTAATGGATTCCAAAACAAACCATGAATAACCTCATCAAAGATAGAATACTTATAATTTGGTACGCAGAAGCGCCTTTGTCTACATGAGATTCGTCAGTGGCATTCGACAGTAAGGTAGATGGCTTAATCAAGCACGAAATTTGAGAGCTTATCAAACCAAAAGGTAGGCGGTACTAAGAACATTTTATTCAATTCCTCTGCCAACATCATTAGGTTGGATATGTACGATGGCTCGTTTTGGAACGTTTAGAAACCGCGAAATTTTAGATAGAGGGTTGCTGACCACAAGGAAGCTATTAAAACAAGATTTCCATGTGGTAAAGTTGAAATCATCCTTTCGTAAATTTTACGGACGCCCTTACGAGTTGGTTAACCGTTATACAATATCTGTTTCACAGATGACGACGGATATGTTCCAATTGTCTTAACTACAATCCCGTCGCCTTTTCCCCGAA